GGTTTAACGGACACCTGTTTTTGACTTATCGTCAAAACACTTTCGAAACGGATTACTTGAAGCTTAGGAATCCGAATCAAAGTTGACTTAGCGCAGACAGCTGTGGTTCGTTTGCGTGGAAGACATCCTCAAGTCCTGACCACCTCACGTCACGTCCTAACCACGACAGTCCATAAATGTGTCAATAGACACCATAAATTACCTACCACACAGAAACCATTATTTCCCTCAACATCCTGGCTGTCGTCCTGACCCAATCGGCTCCACATTGGAGGGGGGGGGGGGGGCTGAGGTGAACGATCGCTCGGGTCTGTCTATCACCTAGCCCGGCGAGCCTCGCGGCGTTTGGCATCGTGCCTGGCACGCACCCCCTCCCTTCCCTCCGCCCCACCCCCACCCCCATGTTGCTCTTAGCCTCGCCGAAACGGAAGAGAGCACGCACACCAGCCGCGCACTGCAGTTCGCTTCGGTGGGCGTCTAAGCAAGCGGTTTCGACAAGAGAACATCAGCTTTTGCATTGTCTGGCCGTTTCCAAATGTAAAGACGCCGACAATGGTGACGAGAGATTTGTTTACGATGGTGCTCGTTTTGTACCACGGAAGCCGTATCATCGGTGAGAGAGGAATGGCTTCGGATTCTCAGTGACAGGCTGATGTGTTGGCATCCCTCGAGTTGAGCATTGAACTTGGTCTTGGTCTTCTTGGTTCTTTCGCTGATATTTTATTTTCATGTTTCAAAATGCACATGAAAATTGAAATTCGGTCTGCATTCCTCTCAATTATTTTTTCATGACTCAAACTTTAAGAATATTGATGAAGATGATGTCTTTCTTCTCTGAAATTTCAACACTCATTTTGCGCCCTGGCGGGACACTGGCCGGCCCCGGCACAGTCGATGTTCAGTTATCCGCTCATTGTACTACCCAGCACGCCTGGCTGGGTGACAGTCCCAAACGGACAAAACTGAGGAAAACAGCGTCCGACTGCCGACCACTGGCCACCAGATAATTAGGCCGCAGTCCAGCCCGCTCGGGACAATGGGCCAGCACGGTATGGTGCGGAAAATTTGGCCACTGGCCACCTGAGGCTACCAACCTCGCTGCTGGACAGTATTGTATTGAGCTGAACAAGGTGACGAAGGCTGACCAGCTTCGACTTAACTTTTATCATTGTGATAGTACGCTGTTGTGAGGTTAGAATCATACGAGTATGTTTTGAACTAGGCACACGGGTGCGGACACGCCTCACATGACGTGTGGAAGCGGTTCTGTTGATCAGACTACCGTGTCCCGCCGCGCCACTGCACGGGCTTGGAGGCTAGTTAGGAGCCCAGCCTTTGTAAACTGGCCAGCTATATGCCCTTTGCACAGGTCATGTATCCACGCTTCCTCTTCGTCAACAGGCGCAGTTGTTTATTGTAACAAAGCCACAGACATTTTTTGGTGTGCTTATCAAAGCTTGCGCAATGAGCCATGCTCCAAGTCCAGTTCGACTGCGCCGGTCGTACGAGAAGTGCGATAGTTGCTAGTTTCTGCCAAAAGATGTCGCTAGTAAAACGCCGTAAAGGTATGCTGTCCCGCAATACATCATCGATCTGAACGAACGGCTGGATCATAAACAATGCCTCGATCGATTTAAAACATTTTTGGCTCAGGTGATTAGATTTTGCGCTTGAGCTGTGTGCCCTGAGGCTTTTCTGGTGAGCCAGTGGTGGAGCCGTCGTGCCGCGGCGATCGGCGCCATGTTTGTTTTCGCTGGGGCCTGCCCCGCAGTCTGGCCAGCCACCGGCAGGCGTCAATTGACGAAATGTCGACGGACATGTTCTGCACTGATCCTGTTTGGTACGACGGAACAGGCCAGGCTTCTGACTTCTGTATCCTGATTGGGAGAGGTTAAAAGCTGGCGAAACATTGCATGCAAATTGACAGTGGTGCTCATGTCTGGATACGTTTTTCAAAATGTGTGCTTTGTCATATAGATGACTAGTTTATTCGTCAACATCTGTTATAGACAGAGATAAAAGTAATGCTTTTATGCGGAATAGTTTTTTCCGAATCGATTACCATTGCGTATTCTCAAATACTTAACCCTCGCCCTGGCAGGGCATTTTTCATAACACGGCCTGGCAGGGGGGGGGGGTCGATGCGACCCCCCCCCCCCCTCGCGATTGGCTCCTATGGCACCTAGAAACACCAAATTTGGTAGGTAGGTGGGCCCCCCGGAGTTCTCGCCCCTGTGCAAATTTGGTTGCTCTAGGTCAATATTTAGGGGGTTTTTGGGGGTATAAATGTAAAAATTTCGCTTAAAACAGGTCAAAAGTTTTTCGCCTATAACTTTTCATCTAATTAAGATAGAGCAAAAAGAAAAGCACCAGTGAACTCAGCACGTCAAGGCGCGTCGAATGATATACTTTTTAGCTTGCTTAAGTGTACTTAAAGTTTTTCTTAAATTTTAAGTAAACTTAAATTAATAAATTAAGTTCAAATTAACCAAATTGCATCATATCGCATATCATTTGATTCGGCTGATCACCAGGAACACAATGATACCATTTTTTAAGCTCTAGCGTCATTATGTGCCAAGTTATTGGCAAAAACGTCATTTGACCTCAGTTGACCTCATTTGACCTGACCCATGGATAAGTACACCAAACAAAGAAGCACCAAGTGTCCTGCTGTTAAGTACCGTGGTTTCAAAGCACAAAAGTGATAAAACGAAGCGGATATCTCCAGTATTTTCCGAATTTAGTATTTTCCCATAGGCTTAACATTACGACGTAATGACCTCTAACTGACCTCAGGTCAGTGACCTAAAAAAAACGGACTATATGTTATACAACTCGGTGAACTTAGCACATCCTGAAAGTTTGAAGGAAATCAGTCGAAAACTGTGAGTTGGACAGGTGCATAAAGAAAATTGAAATTTGACCATGACCTTGTACCGGTTTTTCTGACCTGGTGACCTGACCCAAGGTCACCCGGACCGGAAATTTTCAGGTCATATGTAAAAAGGTTGCCCCATAGGCTGTGGCAAATTTTTTTACGCTATCTAAAGCCGCCGTTTTTACGCTATCTTCGAAAAACCTTAGGGGGGGGTCGCATCGACCCCCCCCCCCCCCCCTGCCAGGGCGAGGGCTAATGAATATCCCAAATATATATACCGACATTCCCAGGCTGATGAAGGCTGCACTGATGGCCGGTGGCTTGGCCCACCCATGACGTGCCCTTATATACAATGACGAGTGAATTTCAGGGAGCTAAGCTCCGACCTCTGTGGGGTCTTATGCGACTTCTGGTGCTCTGTTTATGTTCTGCATGTGTAATGATGCGTCAACGGTTCTCAGCCGCATTCCTGAAGGTACTTAGGCCAGTGCAGTGCATGTTTAGTCTTCGATGGAATGTCCTGGCCGGGGCTCGCCATAAATGAAAAACAAGCGCAATCTGAGCTCTGAACGTTATTTGCGATATTCTCGGTTATTTGTTGAAATTGTATAATGCCTTTTTCGTTGCATGCTCTGTCTATAACTGGAAGTGCTGTGGGATGCCGATTTTCTGCCGTTCTGGTTTTATCCTCAATAGCTGGAAAGTTGAAATTCCAAAAAACTGTACGATTTACGTTGCTGGATCACAATTTACATGCATTGTACATCGATTGAATACGGAATGCAGACTGCAGTTTTAATTGTGGTGCATTGGCGCTGCAATTTTCCACTTTTTGTATCTCGGCACTGGGCGCGATATGAGCCTGTACTAGATGTAATTCTAAGATAACAGCCCTCACTACGTTTCTACATCTCCGGATGGGTGCTTGCAGCAAGCAGCATCACGCGTTTGTGATATCTGCAGTAAAACAAGATAGGATTAGAGCAGATTACATGTGTTAAGTTTTCATTGAAACTCGTTGTCCAGTGTCCTATCTTCGACGCTGGTTGCTCATATTGTCAACTTGATATTTCTGTGTCGTATATCATTAGAGGCGAAAGGAAAGTGTGAAAGCGCTAATTGCGAAGGATTTCATAGAAATAGAAATCTGAAAGCAGGAAAACACGCTCAAAAGCGAACTTCTCACGGATTTTAGATTACCCATGTTTGCTTGATTTGCCATTTTTATCGACTATAGTAGATATGCTAGGTGTACATTTACTAAACATGACAACTTTGAAAGTTGCGTAATCGTCGGCCAAACCTCTTATCAAGCCGCTGATAAGTCTGATACCACTGATACCCTTTCCTTTCTCCAGCCAGTTCTTGTGATCCTAGCTGGGAACATGTCTTACCCGACCCGTTCCGACCTGGCCCGGCGCAGTGGCCGGTCCCTTCCAACCCTCCCTGGCTGAGCCAGCATCAGCCTCTTGCGTAACCAACGGGGGCGGCTCCGTCGCCACCGCCCGGCGGGGGCGGGAGCGGGGGCGGCACACCTGGCATAACGAGGCGCCCTGTGGTATCCGACCGCATACCCTGCAACGCTCCGCGCCCCGACCTAACGCAACGCACTGACCCGGAACGCGGCGGCAGGGGCGTAATGTGGTAGGGATTTTGTGGTGGTTTGTGGGGGCGATTCAGGCGCTGTTGTGGTATGAGCCATTCAGGCGCGAGCGCGACAAATGTTTGAGTAGTGTGCGCCCGTTTGTGGTTTACTCTACTTACTATATGAGATATGTTTCGAAAATTCAGTGGACTGGATGTTTTGGTGTGAGGTAGATTCAAATCGGCTAACTTACAATTGGTGCATTTTGGATCAATTTTTCTGACCTGTGGTCGTCAATTTCGACGGACGCGGAGATGTCCATTTTTAGGAGATTGTTCGGAAGCATAAATATTGTTCTCAGTTGAAACTTGCTATTCTTTTTCTACATCCGAAGAATAAAGTTCCATGCCCATGCGAAAATGAAGCGATTGAAACTCTATCAGGGAGGTTTGTTCTGACCAAGCCAAAAGCCAACGTCCCTTCAACTGCTTGTAGTTGACACTGCCACTAACTTGTTATTTTTTCTGTTTTCAGTCCTGGTCGATCCGAGTAAACCTGATCATCGGTCCGGACTCTGGCATCTCGTACACCACCGACCAGCAGGAGTCGGTGAGTCGGCGCTGATCTCAAAGTTAACGCGTTGCCCTACCATTGCTCTACCCCAAACTGTTCTCTGTGTAATTATATCTCGTCAAATTATATCATAAAGTCTTATTCTGTTGTCGTCCCAATCCCTATCACTTTCTTCTCCATAGAAGCATCTCAATCTATCCCAAGAAGCATATTATCTTTCTAGTTGAGGTTTATTTGCCATTGGGTCTACAGTGCAGGGATATTTCTATCTCGCACTCCTCTGAGATGCAAAGATAAGAATTTGTTGTATCTGCATCCCTCTGAGATGCAAAGATAAGGTCTCGAGGGTTCATAGCGAAAAATCAAGAGTTCATGTGATGATGGGTCAATAACCGAACGACATTTTTAATGGTTGTTTATGGATGAAACTTATGAAATAAGAACATACTACTCTGAATCTATTTTTATATAGATGAATGCATTCAAATATAATATTCTATTAACTAAGAATAAACCTCAACATAGAAAGATATAGGATTCCTCATGGCTCACTCGTGGAAGATCGGATATCTTTTCCTCGCGTGTTACAGAAAAACCTCGCTCCTTCGTCGCTCGGTTTTTCAGTAACCCGCTTGGAAAGATATCCTTATCTTCCACTCGGAGCCATGAAGAATCCTCTATGTCTCCCCTGCCGTGTCTATCCCTCTCTTTTTTCTCCCTCCCTCTCCCTCTCCCTCTCTCCCTCTCTCCCCACGGTGTCGTGGCCCGTTTCACGCCTCTCCTTCCCTCCTCTCACTTTCTCTGGCCATTGTCAGTGCACACACGATCCGACCGCGCCGGTGCACCGCCTATTGAGACCACAGATAGGCTAGTGGGGTGCTCTTCAGAGAATTGAACTAATCTCCCTTTCCCTCACCGTGGTCTGTCTGTCTGTCTGTCTGTCTGTCTGTCTGTCTGGCATTCTGACGGTATGTCGGTCTGTCTGTGGGTCTGTCTATGTCGGGCTGCTGGTCTGTACGATAATGTTTTATCTTTTTCGGCCTATGGACTCCGCCTGTTTGTAATTTTATTTCGACATGAGCCCGTCGTCCTGCCCCTTTGGTGTCCAGCTATTTAGTCTGCCCCTATCCATGTCTTCGTTTTTCTTTATTTTCATTTCATTTCTCGCAGTTCTTTCCGGCTGACGGCCTTTCCGTAACATTACCTTTTTTTCTTCTCCCTCCTTTTTTACTTCATTTGACACATTGTCAATTATTTTTCCTACCTCTTCTCTGCACGTGATGGTCGTGAACACAAGACGTGCCAGATCTGCGCTCATCCTGCACCAGAGGCCAAGCACCTCAGTTCGGCTACATAGTTCATACACGTTTTGAGCCCGCTTCACTGCGCTGTAACACCACAGTCCGATGATATCTCGAGAAGCGAACTGTGCCAGACGAATAGCTACGCTCGCCTTTTCTATGTAAATGTCGCGTTTCCGAGTCTGCCGTCGGGCGAGAGACGACGGATGGTTGAGAAATTCGACCTCTCACCGGTCACCAAGGGGTTCGACGGGGGAGGGGGAGGGAGGGAAGGGTGCCGGCGAGGGGAGGGAAGACAGCGGGCAGGCGACGGCGGACGCGTGGCAAGGTCAGTTCGCTGACGGGTGTCAGAAGCCCTCGTGTCAGTGGCCGGCGTGTCACTGACACCGTGTCACTCGTGGTTTAGGTCCGAGTGTGCGTGAGTGTGAATTGAATGCGAGATATAGGTCACAGGCCGTATATTTTGATATGCGTGGGGCGGTGCGTCTTACGCAAGGTGGCCTGTGAGCATTGGATATTGTTGGATTTTGCTAGAAGGGCTGCATTCAACATGAAGCCGATTGTAACCCTTCTTTGGAGATGAGACTTGCGTCAAATTCTGGAAGAATTCTGGTCCTTTCTCTACCTCTAACCTGATTTTATGTTACGCGAAAGGCAGCTTTGTATGTTGCAGAAATTCCGAACGTTTAAATGTTTTAAAACATTTTAAATCGTTCATTTGCTCGAGTCGTAGGTTTAATGCTTTTCCATTTTATGAATTTTCGGTCTCCGTTACTCTTTTAATGCCTCCAATTCACAGCTTACTTTACACGTGGAAGTTATATGTCACTTGTCACCTGTCACCTGTCATGCTGACCTGCGTGCAGCCCATTACGCTGTGGGTTGTGACAGTTCAGTCAGTGACGTAATACATGACGTCATTAGTGACCTCTCTCCATCCCTCTCTTGCCCTCCCTCAATTTTTCCCATTTGTTTGACACGTCTCTCCCTCTTTTCAGCCGACGCACCTGAGCAGTTTCGATCAAATCCAGAGCATAGAAACACTACCGGCCGAGACGGGTGCCGACCCACGGCCTCCACGGCTTCAACTACGAGTGACGGGTCGCGCTGAGCCCCTGACGCTCGCCTGCGCGTCCACCAGACAGGCGGACAACATGGCTGACCTGGTGGACGGCTACTGCAGGCTGGTCAACAACGCCTCCAGCAGCCTCTGGAACAGGCGCGGTGAGTGGGGCAGGATCGGACTGGGAGAATGGGAGGATTCATATGCTCACATGCGCTTGCATAGTTATATGTATTTAAATTTGTTTTTATATATGTTACAGTTAGTATGCGAAATCCGTTAGTTTGCAACGCAACTAGTTTTGTTGCAAACTACCTGACCGGCCAGGTAGTTTGCAACGAAATTAGTTCCGTTGCAAACTAACTGACCCTCCAGTTAGTTTGCAAACTAACTAGTTAGGATGCAAACTACCTAGGTACGTTGCAAACTACCTAGTTACTTTGCAACGGAACTAGGTGTGTTGCAACGAAACTAGTTGTAATGCGAAATCGACGAGGCGGTGGCTCTATTTGTCGGTTAAATTCAACTTTTATGTAAATTTTAACAACGGTTGTTAAAACAAAGCTGTGTTTTTCTTAAGGGTGACACTAGACATAAGAGTAGGACGGGTGGTCACATTTAGGATAGAAACAGTGAATTAATAGGATTCGACTACATAACGTTACGATCACTGGCGGATCCAGAGGTGGGGGGGGGGGGGGGCGCCCGAAGTCGCTCCGCCATCCACGCAGTGCCCGAAAGCGACAAATATTTACTTATTATGAGAATGAAACGAAAACTGAACAACTTTTATAATCAAATACTTGTTTAGACTGCACAGCCGTGTGTTAGGATTGGAATCAAAATCCGAAAGGTTTTTGGAATTCGGAGAAACTTTTTGGGATTATGTCTCCCGCAACATTTAAGACCATCTTTCTGGAACCGCTAGTGATCACCATAAATGCGTAGACATAAGCGGAAAGAAAGGTTCTGCTGCCGATTTCGGAATAGGGGAGACCCTTTTTCGGTATAGGGGAGGTATGGGCCCCCCGAAGGTATAGATATGGACCATCGCAGTCTGTTGCGTATTTTTACACATTTGACCGCGTACATACACTGGAAGCAGCCATTCCGTTATACAGCCGACGTGCTTTCCGAAGTCTTCCTTAGTCTTCCTTGGCAATGAGCGGTGATAAAGCGTTTTTGCCCTCTTCAAGTAAAATACGGTACATACAAAAAAATCGTGATAAATTTGAACCAGGCTCGTTTTACGACGTCAGACCAGCTCTAACATAAAGTTCAAAGCATGCAAATTAGGACTGGATAGACAATTTGAAGCTTTTTTGCAAGATTATGAGCTGAGATGCTACGCACATCCTGGCGTCCTAACCGAAAGGTTCGGGCCACCCACCCCCGTTGATCCTAAATCAATGAAATGATGCTTTCATTGAATGTCCTCTTCAACAAGTTTATTTTTGCCGCGCAAGGTCGAACATTTAACTAAAAATTTCATTCGAACAGAAAAAGATATTATTTATCTTATTTCGTGGAGCATGATTGAGTTTACCAAAATACTTAATGTGCCCAAGTGACCTCCATGAATTGTAAGCCGTTGGCCGCTTATGCGATGGCTCTTAGAGAGATCAAGGTAGATACCAGCTACGAGTATTGTTCTCATTGTCGAGAAAAGAATATGAAACATAGCACCGGCCCATATTCCCGGTGTACTTTGCTGGATCGAAAAAGCGCATGATTTATTGAAAGTTGTCTCGAGACAAAATATGTTGGTCCCAGATACCTAATAACTATCAGGCACACTTTGCAGGCGAAAAGCAATATCACGTACACAGAGTGAAAAACCGGGTCTAGCCACTGCCAGTGGCGTATTTAGGGGGGGCCATGGCCCCCCCTTTCCGCCCAGCCGCCCAGACGGCGCCCCAATTAGCGCCGACTAGGCTGATGCTGTTTTACAGAGGGAACATAAATTAAAAAGTGATGTGCAGGCAGGGATCGAACTCAATATCTCTTTGGGGGTGCCTGGACACCCCTATGTCCTCCACGGCACCCCCAAATGGGACCTGAGCCCCCCAATGTTAAAGGGCGCCGCTCCGGAAACCAGAATATTCCGAACCCCCAGGGTCGATGGCGCCCCTGAAGAGCCGCTGGCACCCACCTGAAGGGAACAGTCGCCCCAGTAAAGGTTGATAGCGCCCCTCTGAAGTTCACAGCTGCCCCTTTCGGCCCCATCCAAGATCGATGGCGCCCACTGAAACCACTGGCGCCCCTCTAAAGCACCTGCATTCTTCTCAAGATCACAGTCGCCCTATCCAAGATCAATAGCGCCCTCAAGAGAGCCACTAGCGCCCCCCCCCCTTGAGACTGAAGTCGCCCCATTCAAGCCCAATGCCGCCCCTCCAGAGCGTCCGGTGCGCTTCTGAAGATCACAGTCGTCCTCATCCGAGGTCGCTGGCGCCCCTCAAAAGTCACTAGCGCCCATCTAAACGGAGATCACAGCTGCCCCATCTTAACCCTCGCATGTGTGCGGCGTTTGCCAGCTTCTAATGTGTAGGGGGGGGGGGGGGGGTCGGTTGGACCCCCCTTGCCGTTTGGCCCCTGATCGAGCTAGAGCTTCGCGGAAAAAACGAGCGTGTTGCCCGTGACGAGAGGAAGCCGGTGATACCCAATTTTAAGGTCCTAGGTCATTGGTTGACCTTCCAGGTCAGGTCAATGACCCAAAGTCGGGAAAATCGGGACCTGTTAGAAAGTCGTAAAGTGTGGCTGCTAAGGGTTTTTTTCGGGGTGCTGATCACGAATATCGTGTTAGTTTTGATCACAGATGATGTCTTGAAGCATTTAGACCAGGTCGGGTCAGGTCAGGTCAGGTCAACCAGTAGGCGTCGTGACGGGTATTCGTAGTACGTGTCAACCGCCTCTGACAGCTTCGTAACATGTTACGAAGTCACCAAAACTACTTCGTAAATGTTCAAATGGTTGCTAAATTCGAATTCATCTCCAAAAACTAGCCTAGAAACATGTAAAACTCGAAAAAGTGACCCGAGGTCACCCGAGGTCACCAAAGGTCAATGACCTGACCTGACCTTCAGGTGACCTTGACACACACGGGAGTAACATCAAATCACATGTTTGAACGTTTGAAACCACGAAAAGCTTGCAAACACGCGGCTAATGCGAGCCGACATACGCGAAATCGCGATTCCGGCCAAACATGGTCTCGGAAAAGAGGTCACAGGTCAAAGGTCATTTGGGTCAGGGTCATGAAATTTTCAGGGTAGGTGTCAAATTGATCAATGCGAGGGTACTGAAAGTTTCGTCGCGATCGGCCGCTTTTTACGCGAGTTATTCGCGAAAAACCATGGGGGGGTCCATCCGACCCCCCCCCCCCTACACATGCGAGGGTTAAGATCGATGGCAACCCTCTGAAACCAATGGCGCCATTTGTACCCGGCGCCCCTCTGAATATCATATTCGCCCCATCCGAGACAACGCCCCTTGAGACTACAGTCGCCCCACCCAAGCTCAAGGCGCCCCTCTAGAGCGTCCGGCGTCCTGCTGAAGGCAACAGCGGCTCCATCCATGCCCAATGGCGCCCCTCAACGCTCTTCTAAAGATCACAGTCGCCCCATCAATCCAAGGTCGCTGGCGCCCCTCAAGAGCCACTGGCGCCCACCTGAACCGGGACTTCATTCGCCCCATCCTAGATCAATGGCGCCCCTCTGAAACCACTGGTGTCCCTCTGAAAATAACAGTCGGACCATCCGAGATCAATGGCGCCCCTTCAGAGCGTCCGACGCCCTACTGAAGGAAGGCAGCAGTGAACCCATCCAAGCATTGCACCCCTCTAGATCACCCGGTGGCCTTCTGAAGATCACATTCGCCCTATCCGAGTTCGTTGGCGCCCTCCAGTAGTCACTAATGCCCGAGACTTCACTTTCAGTCGCCCCGCCCCATTCAAGATCGTAGCGCTCCTCCCCCCCCCCCCCCAGAAACCACTGACGTTAGGTAATTATTTGACAATGGGGCTGTCTCCGACACCAAGGGCCCTTTTGAAGATGCAGCAGCCAGGCGGCGCCGAGCTGGGCTAGGATGTGCCAAGTGTTTCTTATAAGGCAGCCTCGTTAGTGCCACCCCTCGTTGCGATACCGCCCCTCAATGCGACGCCGCCCCTTCACCGTACAGTGCCACCCCTCAATTCAAGTGGTGCGTCTCAGCACAGTGCCGCCCATTATTGCGATACCACCCCCGCCTAGCAATGCGGTGCCGCCTCCAGCATATGCGTTTTTTTTATTGAACCTGCTGGGGGTGTTTGAACACCCACTTCTAACTCAGCTTGTGGGCCACGTTGAGACGCACAATAGGCGGCGTTCGAAAGAGCGTCAAAAACATTTGCAAAACTACTTAAATCATTTTTAAGGTTAGGTCGAACTGGTCGAAGCCCGAAGGTCAGGTCACCAGAGAGAGTCAGTGACCTGACCTGACCCAAAAATGCGGTTGGTGTCAAAAGATCCGGCTTGAATCAAAGGTAAGGTATGCCAAGTTTCAGCTCTCTATAACCAGCGTGTTCGGAGCTATCGCGAAAAACCCTATGGGGGGGGCGGCACCCGCCCCCCCCCCCCTTGGCCGGCGAGGGTTAAGTCAGTGGGAGAAAAGTGAAATGCGCCTCTTTTGGACGAATGTCGTGCAAAATCCTCTCAAAAATCGGTTCATGGGTAAACATAGCACACTGAATCGGAAAATACATCTGTGACCCTTCTGTGTGCCCCTGAGGTCATCTCAGGTCATAAACGGTCGCCGGCAGTTTTTTTTTTTGGCTAACCTTTGATAGAGACGTGCTAAAGCTGTGAAAACACGTCAGATGTGGTCAGCTCGACGATACAGATCGACTGATATGCAGCATGACCTTGACCTGAGGTCAAATTCTCAAAATGACCTTTCAAGGTCAACGTATAGTTCATTTGACGCGTCTTGACGAGAGGAACACAATGCAGGCAAATTAACTATCGTCACCCTCTTGAGCCAAACGTTATTGCAGAAAAACGCTTTTCATAAAATCTGCTATTTTTGGAGTTTTTGCCCTCTGGAGGCTAAACCGTTGACCTGATATCAAATCTGAGAGCGATATTCAGAAAGGTCTGTAAAAGAGCTTTCGAATGCGCTTTTCCGCGGGGCTGTAGTTATATTGGTTCCCGAGTTAGCCGTTGGCAGCTTCCAAAATTGTTGGAATGGACTAAATTTGACCTTTGGTGACCTCTGGTGACCTAACCTTTGACCTGACCTAAAACTTGAACAACGTCTTTCCGTCATTCTTTTTACGCTCTTTCGATTGCCCCTTACCGCGTGTCGCTACGTGGCCCAGGAGCCGAGTTAGAGGGGCGCGTGAAAACGCCCCCCTCCCCCCAGCACGACACGGAAAACACAGGCCACCAGCACGGCGCGGGTTAACTAATAGGTAGTGAGAGGTCACAAAATTGACCTCGCCCTCAATGTAGATATTTGGTCTGGGGATTACGCAAGGCAAGTTCGGTGAGATCAGCAAGTGTCTATGGCGCTTATTCAAAGTCGATCATGCACACTAATCATCAAAAGTCGTCTTCTATAGTCTACGTCGACCGAAGACATCATAAACCTTCGTGTCACTATATGGGACAGTCTCACGCCTCACCCATCTGGCACTCATGCAGTCATGCATGTCCACAAGTAGGGACTTCGCGCACTAGACATCGAATGGTAAAGGTGATTTGTGGAGAAAAAAAAAATCCAGAACGTGTCAGCGTTCGGTCGCCTCTGACGCAGTCGCTGCTGGTATGACAGTGAGTTTGGATCTCATGGTGGATATCATAGTCTTAAATGTTCAAGTCTTTCCTTGACTCAATTTAGGCAATTAGTCTCAGCGTGAATCCTACATACGTGCGGTCTGAGATTCCAAGCACGGCCACCCCGGTTGACCAGAGGCTGCAGTTCACAGGTCACTTTGGATCAGTGAGTGAACTTGTATTTTTTTGCAAAGAATAAAGATTGTGCTTATCGATCAACGTATATTTTACCATTTCGAATTCGCATGGGTGCGTATTTTGAGAATAAAATGTCCGTAGCCTGAGCTCGTTTCCTATATCGTGCATGCATAAAGATCAAGATTTTGATAAAAAAAACACCGGGCTGCAAATTGCATTAATTGGATTTTATGGAAAAACAGCGAAACCTGGTTCTTATCCTCGTATTTTGCAACACCTAGTAAATCATGCATGAATATATGACGTTACATTTTAGACTGACGCCCCTGACACTAGCTCACAATGGCGCTCCTCTCAAGGGACAAAGTCGCCCCCTCGAGCACCATGGCCCCCCTTTCGCCGATTTCTGGCTACGCCACTGGCCACTGCAGTGGCTAGACCCAGGCAGTGCACTGCCCACTGGAAGAAAATTACCTTTACACAAAACCGGCCCATACCTCCCGGGTCTCCCCTATTCCAGAACCGCGCCGCTGACGAGCTCCTACCTCCACAACCGATCAGTCTGTGACGCAGCCTGCCCTTTGAGCATTGGCTGTTACCGAATGGCCCGGCACCGCTAGGCAAGTCGCAGTAGGAGTCGGCCGTTGAGACAGATTCTTGATCGCACGCTTACCCCGGACCACGGGCCATGGGACAATACAGTTCAGTTCTGTTCTGTGCGGCGGCGGTGGTGACTGGTGTTAGTGTGTGTCGCAAAAAAAAAGAAAATCAAAATCGCAAAATGCCCCCTCGAAACTGCCCCTCCTCTGGATCCGCTAGCGATCGTCACATTATGTAGTCGAATCTGGTTATTTCACTGTTTCATCCATGAATGTGACCACCCGTCCTACTCTTATGTCTAGTGTCACCCTTAAGAAAAACACAGCTTTGTTTTAACAACCGTTGTTAAAATTTACATAAAAGTTGAATATAACCGACAAATAGAGCCACTGCCTCGTCGATTTCGCATTACAACTAGTTCCGTTGCAACACACCTAGTTCCGTTGCAAAGTAACTAGGTAGTTTGCATCCTAACTAGTTAGTTTGCAAACTAACTGGACGGTCAGTTAGTTTGCAACGGAACTAGTTTCGTTGCAAACTACCTGGCCGGTCAGGTAGTTTGCAACGAAACTAGTTGCGTTGCAAACTAACGGATTTCGCATACTAACTGTAACATATACACGGATTACATATATTACTTCCTCGCCTCCAATTTCAGTCAATCCTCGCCTCCTCTCGCCACCAATTTCAGCACTGCCACTCAGTCATCTACAGCAATACATATTACATGTGATGTACCCGCTGATATAACAGCAAATGCGCCAATTCACGTGGGGCCACGATATATGCAATGTGCAATGTGCATGTGCCATCGTCACCCGTGTTTGCCGTGGAGCAGTCACGGGTCACAGGTTCCCCAGTGCGCTCGCAGCGGAGCCTGCGAGGGCACAGGGCGATTCCGCCCTCCCGTATCCCCCTTCCCCCCGGGAGGTACAGGGGGATCGGCTGTGCGCGAGACTCAGGCATGAGTAATGCCAGCGCTGCAGAAGGCTTGTTTACGTTGAGGGAGGGAGGGAGGGAGGGATGTGTCTGCACTCTGCAGCGTGCTAGAGGACGACCTTGTCAAGTGTCTCTTAGGGTTAGGGTCTGAGTGACCCACGCCTCAGATGGGGCTCAGGCTAGAGGAAAGTCTGTTGATTTGTGCGTGTGTGGGCTGGATTTGCTAGGTTCTTTTGTATAATTATGGCATGAGTTCGTAGTTAGTCGCTGTTTTGTGCTATGATGGAGATCCAGAATCTAGATTGAATAATGCGACTAGATCAAACCGGATTTTCAGTGTCTGCCCGTATGTTAAGTTATTTAATATCAGGCTGAAGCACGACGATGATTTTGCTGCGATGGGTGCATCTTGTTCGGGCTAATGATGCCCGCATCATGCAGGCTGCCTCTTTTGAAATCACGCTGCTGCAGGCCACAGCACCCGCATTCGGTTTGAAGCAGGTGTTCTGCTTTTGGCTTCTGCTATTTTTTTATGAGTGTGCTGTTATGTGTATCGCTATAGTCATAGAAATGTATAATCTCAGGTGATCTGCACATCAACTCACGCTGCTTTGCTCCATTTCAGACGGTCGTTGCGGCGTTAGTTCGCCGGCCGGCCGCCGCACCGGTCTGGCGCCACGGTCGCCTCTGTCGGACGACTACGCTGAGATTGTGGAGGATGAGGACGATTACAGCACGCCTGCGAACCACGACCGGGAGCTGCCGCGGGAGAGCGTGCACCTCGAGAAAACGATAGGTGAGCGACGGTCGTATGTGGCCTGGAAAAGGAGTAATCATGAGAATATGTACAACATTTTACGGCATTTTTGCTGAATTTGTTCATGAAAGGTAGATTGTTTCACATTTCTGGTTCATGTCCTTAGATTTGCAGTCGCCTTTAGTCAGTCACCTTACACCATACTTAGTCGCCTTGAAACAATATGTTTGTGATCAATCAAACAGCTTGTCACGCATTCGAAGCGAATGCAACAAGTCTCGTTCCCTGGCATCCCGCATCCCGTTCTCAATGACATATCATTTTCAATCCATGCTTCTTCGTCCACAGGCGAGGGTCAGTTTGGAGACGTGTACCTCGGTACATACAGTCCCCCCGGCGGCGCGGCTCCCATGCCAGTCGCAGTCAAAACGTGCAAAATCGACCACGATGGTTCGATGGCTAACAAGTTCCTAGAAGAAGCCCGTGAGTACTTACCAATAAGATCGTGGAAGTGGCATGAATGGTGCCTTATGTCGTGTTCCGCAATTGCCAACAAGTTGTGCTCATCTAGTTTTAGATATATGCAACATCTTATGTGTTTTCGAGGGTGTAGATACGGAGAGCCATAATTTATCAGCTTTGCAAAAACGAATTTAGATCACAAATTCTTCATCCACATACGGATGGTAGTGATTGCAGTAAGATTATCGGAATATTTGGCTTCTATCTGTCCCATGCAGACTTGCTCTAATCTGACCCGACCTTACTTCTCCAGACACGATGCAGCAGTTTGACCACCCGCACATCATCCGTCTGGTGGGCACGTGCAGTACCTCGCCCGTGTGGATTGTCATGGAGCTGGCACGGCACGGCGAAATGCGGGCTTACCTGCGTGATAACCGCCACCGTCTGAGGCTCGACACACTGGTGTTGTATGCGTACCAGCTCAGCCAGGCGCTGTCGTATCTGGAGAGCAAGAAGTTTGTTCATCGGTGAGTGAGGGGATGGGGAGGAGGATGGGAAGAGTTAGATGGATCGGGGAGGGTGTTTGTAAACGAGAGAAAAACAGTAATTCGTGGTAGTTGTATCGTTTTAGCATAACTTGGCGTTCTTTTGTGTCATAATGTTCCGGTATTTGTGTGCTTTTATAATCAAGGCTCGTGTTCCATCGTAGCTGTGTTTCATTGTATGTCGTGCAGTAGACATGTCCAAATTGACCAAAAACATGATGTCTGTCATGAATAATTTTTTTTACTATTACCATTTTCCATATTTTATATGGTCTCTCTGACCCCCCACATGTGCAAACATCATGATCTATACACCATCCCAGATTACCCTATAACCCTTTCTACCTTCACACAGGGACATCGCGGCGCGGAACGCCCTCGTCTACAGCCACCACAGCGTCAAGCTGGCCGACTTCGGTCTCAGCCGGTGGGTGGAGGACCGCAGCTACTACAAGGCCTCCAAGTGCAAGCTGCCCATCAAGTGGATGGCGCCAGAGTCTATCAACTTCAGACGGTTCACCACCGCCAGCGACGTCTGGATGTTCGGTGGGTGAACTGCGGGAATGAGAATCGACATTGTTCCTTTTGACGCACATGCTTGAGAGTGGTGGTTACATAGGGGAGAGTGGGGCACATTCGTGCATGGGGCACATTCGTTTTCAGCAGTTTATGGGAACACGAGTGACTGCACGAGCTCAAGGTAAATTATGGAAATGTGTCTATCATTGCCGCCCTTCGTTCACCGTAGAAGACAACACTGTACCTGCTGTCATGCTTGATAAAAACGCAAATTTGTAATATTCGTGAGCTTTCCAAACTTTTCTCATATCATCCATTTTCGTGATCCTGACTCGGAAATGTGGTTCAGCTTTTCAAAATTGGGGGCGAAGATGCTCACTCTATTCACGGAACTGCTGCAAACTTGTTTGTTGACAAAGTGTCATTTTTTCAACAAGAAATTTTGAAATATATTACAAATAACGTTGTGGGGCAGGTTCGTGTACGCACTGCCTGGGGGCACATTCGTGCATATTTTTTCTTAGTTTTTGCTATTTATGACTTTATCTATAGTAGGTTTCACTAATGACGCTCGCCTGACTCAGTCTCGGCTTCCTTCGACGTCGTGACGAGTAATTCACGCGAACTTGGCGAGGTCACGGAGGCCGGCAGTTGGCACATTCTTGTTGGCCAGCCCATTCTTTCTACATATGTTGTGCAATGCATTCTTGTCGAAAGGAATCAATTGAAATGACCCCCTGCCAATTTCATTTGGTAAATTTCTGGTAATGCCCGGTAATTTCTAGAACTTTGCAGGGTGCACGGAAGTGCCCCACCCCTTGCACGAATGTGCCCCATAGGTGGGGCAGTTTCGTGCAAACGTTCAGAGTTATTAAAAGTCATTTTTTCTAATAGAAGCAATAATTTTAGAGGATAACTTTTAAAGAGGAAAAATATCTGCAATATTTCCTTTCCATACCACAATCAACAATTTTGTCGTTGCACTAACCAAAGAACAGTTATATGGATTTATCCATTTTTTGCACGAATGTGCCCCACTCTCCCCTAAAGTGCCCATTTGAGCCTGCATTTCTGATTTGCTGCACAAATATCAGCATTTTTAGTTTTCATATCTATGTTTGCATCTATGCCGCTCAATTTGCTCTAATTTTATCTGTTGTGGATTTCCCACAGATTGAGCTCTCAGCCAGTGCTTAGCCTGTCCATTTTACTTTCCATGACAGGAGCCTGTGCGCGTCATCAGTGAGCTACATACTTACTTCCATTCTCATGTATATGTGCGAGTACTCCGCTCTGTTATGAGCTGTGCTGACTAACCGTTTCTCCCATTCTCTCCCAGGTGTGTGTATGTGGGAGATCCTCACACTGGGCGTTCAGAAGCCGTTCCAGGGGGTGCCCAACAGCGAGGTGGTGGGTAGGATAGAGGCTGGAGAGCGGCTGCCGCTACCTGCCGACTGCCCGCCACACGTCTACACCCTGATGCTCAGCTGTTGGTACTATGATCCGGCCAAGAGGCCCAGCTTCGCCCGGCTGCGACAGTCACTGCAGTGAGTGGTGGGAGGAAGTGGGAGGAGGGAGGGAGGGAGGAGAAGAGGGGGAACATACATACATAAATTTAGCGGAACGGAGACAGAGACGCTTACTAGAGGGAAATCGTGAAATATGTAGGTAGATGGGGACAAAGAGGAGTGGGAAATTCAAATGTGATAGGAGCAAATCGATATCATTTAGGTACTGTTTTTTATATTTGTTTCTGCCAGGGTTCGTCATAGATCTCCGTTTTCGGAGCACACGTTGATGTGTCTATTTTTCCTCAGTGAGTATCTGCTGGAGGAGCGGCAGGCTCAGGAAGACTCGATACAGCGAGAGAATCGACGGGCGCAAGCCAACTCATGGGGTAAGTATCAAAGCAGTGAGGGCAGTTCTCTCCATGGCGAATACAAACAGGACCTATGGGTATACTATGGGTATGGGTATGGGCTAGATTGTATACGCTTGAATGCTGCGTATGTGCATGTCTGGTACAGCCATGCTACCGATAGTTACAAGTTCCTGCTTTATGCCATAAGCATCAACTTTCTATGATGTCATTTTAATGTAAATTCAGCATCATTTGGAAGCTTTAGCAACATCTGCGACGCTGAATAATAATGCGACTCCCTTTTCTTCCACAGGCTCCAATGACTCTGACGAGCCGTCAGCGCCCTCCAAGCCGGCCAGGCCTCGTCTGGCAGTGGACCGGCGGCCGGCGCCACCCTCCCAGTCACCCCCCTCATCACCCCAGACCTACATCGTGGCCCAGTCGCCGGAGGCCCTCTCCAGGCTTCTGCGCGACTCGGGCGGCCGTCTGAACCCGGGCGGCTACAGCGCTCCAGCCTCGGTACTGAACACAGTGGCAGTGGACCTGGCCGACCTTCCGCCCGTCCGCTCCCCCGGCTACGGCCAGAGCTACGGCCCAGGCTACGGCCGCGGCCACGGCCAGGGCCGCGTCAGCTGGCAGGTTCGGTGTCTGAGTGATGTAGAAGAGACTGGTGGAAGCACGCGTGCAGTGTCGCACTGGGCTTGTAGAGGCGACGAGGTAGCCATCTTCGTGCGGGAAAGCTACAGTGTGGACTGGAGATTTAGAAAAGATGCGTATGTTTTGTATTTCTGTTCACTCTGTAGCTTTCATGGACGATTGGCTGCCTCCGAAACCGACAACAGGTCACGCTAAAGCACAGGGATCTGATGTATATTGTAGCCTTAGGCACTGAAGCGCCGCTTCCAGGCGCATTCTGCTGCACACGTTACTGGTATAACCAGTCTCGTGTACTCTTTGTACTCTTCAGCACAGGTAGTGTACATTTTGGGGATGTTGATTCGTGGTCACACTGCACTCGCGTTTTCTCTGCACCGAATCTCTTCATACGCTCAGCACCGCACCTGCTGACTGTAATGGCTCATCCTGTCCTTATATCTCTGTGTGAGCTTTGTTCATACTGCTGTGTTCAATAGGATGTCTTGTAAACATCATCCTATTCCTGTAGAAAACTCGCTTCATGGTTGGGTCTAGTTTGTTACGGTTGTTGATTCGTAGCGTCTTCTGGGTTGTAGCTTAGTTTTACGGTTTGTTTTCGCTTGAAAGCTGCTAAAAATGTGCTGTTTCACGAGACGTACATTCTGTTGTTCATTAACGTTTTTGGTGTTATTGATTTGATTGATATAGCTTTCGAATTAAATATTGATAATTTTCAGCAATATTTTTTTTTCCAATTAGGACACTTTGGGATTATTATATTATCAACGACAATCATATACAATTTCAGCGTTATCCAGGATTTAATATTATATTTTTAGTAAGTAGCACATAATTTATATCTAGTGTCATATCGTTCTCGCTTTCCTCCACCAACTGACCCTCCCCTCCCCACCCACCCCAGAAACCTCCCCTGCCTCCAGAGGACATAGCCCGTCGTCAGGATCAGGAGCTGTGCGACTCCAGGGAGCGGCTGGAGAGGCCAAACAGGCACGGCGAGCGGCCGCACGGAGATGAACTGGTGAGGAACGGGAGAGTGTGTCATAAAGCGGCTTGATGTGGGTCTGGGACGGGTGATATTGTTTATAAGCTATGGAGTTACCGCTATTTCATACAGGGATGAGTATCTAAATATACCTAATATACAACTCATGACTGCTATGATTGATTGAAGTGTCATGGTTGCTAGGTCATGGGGCTTGGAAGAAGAAAACAAAAGGAAGGGTTGAATAAATAACATTACATGGAAGGTACAGAAAGTATGTGGAGCACTAGAAAATACCTTTTTGAATTACACACACACAAAAAAGGGAATAAAACATGTGCCATAGAGCTCTACGCGACAAGCTGCTAGTGACGCGGCACAGTATGCATTCAGGCGTAGAGGAAGTGTTCGGCGGGCTAGTATAACTTCAGGCGCTACTGCTCCTGCCATCTAGTGGCTGAAAATGTCATTAAACGCCCACGGCGGCCGTGTGGCACTTCCAATGCCACTGTAAAATTGCTTGATAGCTTATGACTTCCTGATGAACGAAAGCCTAAATGGACGGCTTAGTTTTGCATAACTACAATATGGAATACCAAAGCAGAATGACTACACATGAGCATTGACATGGCTTCATATGACATTCTCGTCAAAAACCCTTTCCCTGACCATTTTCTCTCCCTCCACAGCGTCGCCGGATGTCCGTGGGAACCTCCTCGGACCGCTCCGACTCCGACTGCGGAGACCCGTGTGGAGCACACAGAGGGGTCTCACCCGCTCTCTCCGGCGCGGACACCGGCTCAGACGGCTCCAGTAGTAAACCGTCGTCGGCACACAGCTCCACGGAGCGGCCAGTAGTCGCTAAGGTGGGCTATTGGGAGCGGATTGGGACGGAGGGGGGGGGGGGGGGGCGAACTGGTGGTCAACTAGGATCTATGTAGATTTGGGAGGTAGTTGAGGAATAGGGCTGGTCGGTTGCAAGTCATTTTGACGGGTTGGTGCAATAAATGTGCTGTTTTTCTCAAGCCTTCCGTTAGATGAGCTTGCTTTTGGTCATGTTCCGGTGGATTCCGTACCGACTACCGACATAGTAAACTTCCTTTGGGGCGAGTGCAGTGTAATAAGCCATCGTCTTGAAATAATCGTCAGCTCAGTAGGTGCGTTTTAAATCCACTTCATCAGCCCATCACCTCACCTCGACCTCTCTCCAAACGTATACGTTTGGAGCTAGCGCCGGAGCTCCCGGCACTAGCTCCGTATACGGAGCTAGCGTACGGAACTCTCTTGTTATCTCTTTCCCCAGCGCGCGGAGCTGCCTCTTCTCTCTCCCCAGCGCGCGGAGCTGACCCCTTCTCTCTCTCCCCAGCGCGCGGAGCTGACCCCTTCTCTCTCTCCCCAGCGCGCGGAGCTGACTCCCACCGCGGACATCGACCGTACCGGTGACCGGGTGTACGACTGTACCACCGAGGTAGTCCGAACGGTGATGGCCCTGTCGCGCGGAGTACAGGCCGGCAGGGCCAACAGCTACCTAGACCTGGTCAAGGACGTGGGGTACGAGCTCAGGGAGCTGCTGGCTTCGGTGGATGGAGAGGTGCCCTCGTTCCCGGCGTCAGCTCACAGAGAGGTGAGAGGGGAGGGAGAGAGAGGGAAGAGGAGAGGACGGAGGGACGGAGGGAGGATGTGAGATGATGTGACTTACAGGGAGATGAGCCGTGCAAAGGTTTAGGGAGATGGGACGAACAAGCATTTGCATCACAACATTCATCTCGTTGTAGATGGTAAACCAATATTTTGGAGCCACGGGAAGAGTATTTCGGGGATAAATGCAGTTCCGTAAAGCAGGGCTGCGGAGTCGATGGATTTTCGGCGACTCCGACTCCGACTCCGACTCCGGTTTTCAAAAACCAGCTCCAACTCCGACTCCGGGCAGAATTGTCGACTCCGACCGACTCCAACTCCCGACTCCGACTCCGCAGACCTAGCAGGGCTGCGGAGTCGACAGATTTTCGGTGACTCTGACTCCGACTCCGGCTCGGGTTTCTAAAATCGACTCCGACTCCGACTCCGGTCACAACTGTCGACTCCGACCGACTCCGACTCCGACTCCGACTCCGACTCCGACTCCGCAGCCCTGCCGTAAAGCAGCATCGAAGCTCCCACTGTCACCGGCGTTTCCTGCGTTGACTGTTGATGTGTGATGCACAATTCACTCAATCCCCATCTCGCAGATCGAGATGGCGCACAAGGTGCTGGGGAAGGATATGCAGGAGCTGGTGACGTCGCTGAAGCAGGCACAGCGCTACAGCACCACAACACTGGACGAGGAGTACAGAAAGTGAGCTTTTGAACTTAGTTCTCGTGTCTCTGCTGGACGTGCGAAATGTGTAGTCGAGTAATAATGCCTTTAAGAAAGTCATTCCTTCAATAATGTGATTCATTTAACAATAATTGTCAGCAGCATTCACGAAAGTGGTCTATATAGGTCCATTTTACATTTGTATAACTCTAGCTGGTGTAAACGGAACGCCTTCAGAGCCGGGGTTTGGGTCGATATGGCCCATATTCCGGTTAGCCAGCCTTTGCCGTAGCGCTCTCGAGTTGATATGGTTTCGGACCGCCAAGTCTGGCCGAAGTCCGGCTCCGTCCCTGCCACGACTCAAGTCCGGCTTCATCAGTCTTTATTTGCTTTGTTGCTATCGGATTTGGCCGGGGCCGTTGTGCCCAGTTAATCACCGTCTTGGCACCCAGCTGACGGGGCTGTCTCTCCGCCAGACAAATGCTCCAGGCAGCTCACGTGCTGGCGATGGACGCCAAAAACCTACTGGACGTCGTAGACGGAGTGCGCATGCGCTGCAGACGGGGCGGGGCCGCGCCTGGCCGGCCCCCTCGACACGAATTGGCTCCAGCGGGCAGCTGAGCGAGCGACGGTGGCGCCACCACCGCCGCCGCGCCGATCCTCTAGTCAGCCGCGTCGCCGCCGGGCGGCGCTGGTGGCGCGGTGCCGAGAGTTGGGAAGGGGAGGGTGGGCTGGGTGGGGCCGATTGCTGCCCATTCCATAGCGTCATACGACGCCGGTGATGTTTTGTGTTGTGCCGAATGCGGCGCAGATTGTCTTGTCAATTCACACGTGTGTGCTGCCTCTCACCGTTGTATGAAAAGTGTTACAAATACAGATCTTGTAATTTTGCTTAGCTGTTTTCTCGAGGGTTCCCACTTCTTGTTAGACATTGCTGGGAACTGACGGTTAGACTGGGATTATTTTTACCTTCGCACCAGCAATGGCTTCTGACTAGTGAAATTCGATGGAAACCAGAGTGGCCAAGCAAAAGTGACGAACCGCAGTGGTATCATGAACCATCACATCAGTGTGGCGTGGCCATGTCATGATTCATTGCATCTGTACATTGCGGTGATGTTATTGCCAGCTCATCAGCTATCTTGATCTCACTCCGTCAACTTGTCTTCCTTTCAAACATTCACAACAGGATGGAGGTGCACGCGGTTAGTCCCCGTGTAAGTAAGTAAGTAAGTAAGCTGCACGCGGTTAGTCCCCGTTGGCAAATGTTAGTGATTAGGTGCTGTGAATTCCTAAAAGCATGAGTGGCAATTGACAAAAGGGTAATTTCTAGAGATATCGAAAGCTTTATAAGTAGTAAGGAGGCGTGTAGAGAGTCAGTATAGCTCGCGAAAGATTTGCGTGAACACGTTTTTCGGTAAACATCAATTCTGATAGAAACGTAGCTATGTGCAAAGACGGTTATATGGGGACACATTGATTCGCCAGTTGCTGCCAGTCTCGTCTAAAAGACAACCCTATACCCACTAAGATATAATCTTCCTGAGATTAAATTCACGAGTGTTGCTGGGCACTCCTTCGGTCAGTCATGCGTATCGGTGCTTTGTATTTCTCTTGTATGTAGACTGTAGTCCTTCTATTCATCACATCTGACTGCACTCCGGGGACCAAATTCGTCATATGCTGTGTGTGTATTACCGTTCAATTCCCTGAACTGTCATCACCTTACGACTAATGCATTGTTTTTACAGCGTGACGCAAGCCCATGGTGATGTAAAAAGAGTCCCCCGGGTCAGATATCAGCGGAACTTACGGTGTAGATAAGGCGGAGGGGACAGACTGCAGAGTCGGGAGGCCGGGGGATGCTATACCGTTAGGAGTCGTCAATGGGATATCACCTCATGCCGTATGTGGTGCGCCGGTCCAGCCCTTTGTCTAGCATCACACTAGTCACTAACTGTAGGCATATTGTAAGCTGCCATCACAGATGATCGTAATACGTTAGAACGCATTTTATATTTTACGAAACAGTCATTGAGCATCAAACCACATAACGTTCCTAATTCCTAACAGAGAAAAATTGCTTTAGTTTGAAAGTATACTAATAAATTGTGCTGAAATTTATTCTCACACTATATTTATAAACAAAGATCACACTCAAGTTTTTTTTCCTTCCTTGGGATCACATATCGAAGTCTGTGGGATTATATTTGGGCCCCGTGAGGCTTCTTTCATCCGTTTCTGACATAACATACCTACTAGAGGACGTACTCGTAAAAAGTGGCCCTGGCGAAGGACCTGACTGGCAGTATTGTAGTTTTTATAAATCGTGTTGGGACGCACCGATTATATATACCGACCACTGACTGATACTGTGTAGTACATAGGGGAGAGTGGGGAAAGATGCCCAGGGTTTTGCTATGTCATATATTATTCGAAAATGACGATGGGAAAGCAAAAACTTGGAGTTTCAACGGAAGCCGACATCATTTTTCTCCAAAAATATCACACTTTCGTCCCTGAAATATTATAACTTTTTTTGCTATTAAGCATTTTCCTGAAGAAGTGAAAGGGGGCATCTTACCCCACAGGGTGGGAAAGACACCCCCTGACGTTGGGAAAGATGCCCCCTGCACTATAAGTGACATAAATGGGCACGTGAATCGCCTGAACGAATCAGTAGTCCCTTCGAGCCTGCAGTAGACACCAAACGTCATCATAAGGGTCCTCAAAAGTAGTCGTAAGGGGCTTTAGAGGTCATCGTTAGGGCCATCATAGTCCAGCGCGGCCAAACAAGCCTCCGTGGTGGCGTTCGGAGGCCACTGTGGGGCCCTTATAGGTCTTCATGATGCTTGAGGGCCCTCGAGCCCATCGTGGGGACCTCCGATGCCAGCGCGGCCCGTGGGGCCAACGTGGGAGCCCTCAAAGGATGTCGTGAGGGGCCCTGGAGCCAATAATGGGGCCCACAGAGGCCATCGTGAGGGCTCTCAGAGTCAGATGCCGCCCAAAAAGTCGCTATGTGAGCCGAGAGACCGGCATGGGGAGCACCTGACCGTACTGGACTCTCAATAGTCCCAGATCGGCTTTTGTCTACATCATAAGTATGTAATAAATGCTTTGACGGGCTGTTTGAAGGACAGCCTACGGGTTTAGGGGGCGTCTTTCCCCATCAGGACAGGGGGCATCTTACCCCAAGGTACCGAAGTAACATTAAATCAGTACAATTTGTTAGCCATAAAACTACACCCTGAAACAAACTGTTTGGGACACAGTACACGCATGCTAATGTATCACGACTATAGCAAGGGACGCAAACATTATTTACCTTCTTTGATATTTACAATGTTCTGACACATAGGCGTAGGAACAGGGGGGGCCAGGTGGGCAAGTGCCCACCCACTTTTCGAGGTGGGGGGCCAACCATGTGTTTTGGCCCACCCACTTTTTACTCGAGGCCCCTCGTCTCGATTGGAGAGGACGTCGTCACCTTCCAGAATAAACAAACTCGGTAAAAATAAGTTCCACGAATCCCCACGCACGGACTCCAAGGGGCCGTGATGGATCCAAGGAGGCCCTCTGTTCATACTTATCAGTCGAAGCCCCTGAGACTGATGGCCTGAGAGGCCCTAGTGGATCTGAGGAGGCCCCAATATCCACACTGGTCTGGGAGGCCCCTCCATCCACACTAGTCAGAATAGGCCCCTGACACTGGCGGTCTAGCCGAGGCCCCCTACCCTCACTAGTCAGAGGAGGCCCCTCTATCCTCAATAGTCAGAAGAGGCCCCTGAGACTGATGGTCTGGGAGGCCTATCCATCTACACTGTAGTCAGAGGAGGCCCCTGAGACTGATGACCTGAGAGGCCCTTATAATCACACCAGATAGAAGAGGCCCATGATACTGATGGACTGAGAGGCCCTTCTATTCATACTGGCCACAGGAGACCCCCAAAACTTTCGGTCTGGGAGGTCCCTCAATCCGGCACCAGTCAGAAGAGTCCCCTGAGACTTATGGCCTGGGAAGCCCTTATATTCACACTAGGTAGAGGAGGCCCCTGAGACTGATGGTATGAGAGGCCCTCATATTCACACCAGTCAGAAGAGGCCCCCGAGGCTGATGGCTGTGAGGCCCTTCTGTTCATATAACTGGCCACTGGAGGCCCCTGAAACCGGTGGTCTGGGAGGGCCCTCTATCCACACTAGTCAGAAGAGGCCCCTGAGCCCGATGGTCTGAGAGGCTCTTATATGCATACTGGCCACAAGAGGCCCCTGAGACTGATAGTCAGAGAGGTCCACTCGTAATGAATCTGAGGGGCCCTCTATCCACATTTACACTTTTCTAGGGAGGCCCCCGGGACTGATGGTCTGAGAGGCCCTTTTATTTATACTGTCCACAGGGGCCCCCTGAGAATAATGGTCTGAGAGGCTCTTCTATTTATACTAACCAGAAGAGGCCCCTAGGATTGATGCTCTAACAGGCCCTTCTATTTATACTAGCCAGAGGAGGCCCATGAGACTGATGGTCTGAACTCTGAGAGGCCCTTCTATTCAAACTAGGCAGATGAGGCCCCTGAGAATGATAGTCCGAAGAGCCATGCGGCGGCAACTGGCCGTGGCCATATTTCGGCTCGGTAGGGCCCCACAGAGCTCATGAGAGCACCTCAAGGGCTCCTAAGTAGACACGCTTATCCCCATAAGGGTGCCACGCCGGCTTCTGAAGGCTCCTTGTAGGCATCTAAGGACCCTTTCCGGCCTCTAACGGCTCCACCCGCCTGTGATGGCTCCACACCAGTGTTTATGAGCGCCACACAGCGGCGCCTTTGAGGGTCATACTAGTGTCTCTTAGGGCCCTATATCGGTGGCTCTGGGGCCCCACACCGGCGCCTCTGTGGGCCACCACACCTGTGCATCTCAAGGGCTCTAAATGTACATCTGAAGGACCCACACCGACATATCTGAGGGCCCCACACCAGTATCTCGGAGCTCTGAAGGCCCCACACCGGTGACTCTGAGGACTCACCGGCTCCTGAGAGCACCATGTTGATGTCTAACGGCTCCACAAGGCCACTGAAGGCACCACACAAACTCTCACTGAGCTCTAATGTCCATGTACCGGCCTCTGAGGGATTTAAGCCAGCGCATTCATAGCTCCACACCAGCAATTGTAAGGGCTTCACACTGAAGTATCTGAGGGTTCCACACCGGTGTCTCTAAGGGCCACATACTGGCATCTCTGAGGGCCCCATACCGGCGTCTCCGAGGGTCCACATCTGGCGGGCACCCATCAGCGACTGAAGGCCCCACACTGTCGACTCCGAGAGCCCCATCTGCGTCTGGGAGCACCATGCCGTCTCTAAGAACCACAGCGGCTCCTCCGTACGAAAGATGGGCGTCTGCATGGCAAAGGGGAGCGGTTCTGAGACAGTAGGGCACCTACCGCCTACGTGCAATAGAGGGGCGCCTATGAAGCCCATAGGGGCGCCTCAATGCGAAAGAGGGGCGCCTCTGAGGCCTACATACATATATGGGCGTCCACATGCAATAGAGGTCTGCAAATTGCAATTGATCAATGCCATGGGGGTGCATTCATAAGAAACAGGGGCGCCGGCATGGCAAAGAGAGGCGCCTTCAAGTGTCCATAAACGAGAGACGCCTATGATAAGCGCACATTGTATGCGACAACGGGGCGACTGTGGGACATATAGGGATGTCTCTGATGACTATAGGCACATAGGGCGCTTATATGCCAAAGAGGGCGCCTATGAAGCTAATGGGGGCACCTGGGAAACGAGGAAGACATTTGTGTAAGGGTTTTCAGGGGTCATGCGCCGTTTGCGGCAAATAGATTTAAAAAAAAATCGGAGGGGTAAGAAGATTTAAAAATGGTGCGGAC